TGAAGTGAAGAAACCTTCACTCGACATTTTCTTTATACATGTATTTAATTTCATGAAGGTGACTTGTGAACTGTTAGCATTATTTTCTGATAAACTGGAGTACTAGCCAGAAAGTTCCTACCTCTTGTCTGTATCTTGAAGTATTTCCCCTACTTTTTCTTCTAACAGTTTCACAGAGTTTCGCGTCTTCAAATTAGGTCTTTGTTTTATTTACAAATAGGAATCTCAAATCATTCTGCTACAGTTGGGTACAAGATCCATTTGTTAAAAGGCTGTCTTTTCCAATATGCTGTTGGCATCTTTGGCAAAAACAAGATGGTTGTAGCTGTGCGGGTTTATATCTGGTTGCTTTAGCCTGTTCCTGAGGTGATCTGAATAAGAATACCCTTCACAGGCTCATATATTTGAATGCTTCATCATTAGGCAGTGGAACTACTTGAAGGATTAGGGGAATTGCTTTGTTTTCGGCCCACTACACCCCTCCATACAGAAGGAATTTACTCACTATGAGACTACGTTTCAAAATCTCCCCCACTGCTTCCAAAGCTCAAAGACAAGCAGAATAGCAAAATTCCTTTTTAAAGGCACTAAAGCCCCCTCACCCCAATCCTCCATAAATGCTATTCACTGGATCATCTATCTGAGACACCCAGCTGACCTTCAAATCCACCATCAATTTCCCCTTATTTGAGCCTGGTGATACTGTCCGGGTCAAGCAGGTAGCCAAGGGACACCGAAAGACACTTGGAAAGGACCTATATAGTGATACTCTCCACTCCTAGATGTGTAGCATTGCACCATGGATACACATCCAGGTCAAGGAAGTGGAAGCCACAGCTATTGTCAGCAAATGGACTGTATCCTGGACTATGAGTCCATTAAAATTAAGGTTTCATCGGGGCCCTGGTCCCTTACACTTCATGCCCCTCTAGTTCCTAAGTCTTGTGTTTTTCACTATGGGTATCATTGCAGGGTCACAGTCTAACCCTCATCATCCTCAGATGTGAATCTGAGAACGAAGGAAGGCAGGTACAGGGAAAATGTCTTAGAGTTCTGTTGCTGTTAAGAGACGCCATTACTACAGCAACCTCCCCCTCCCCCCCCAAAAAAAAACATTTACTTGGGGCCTTGCTTACTGTTTCAGAGATGCAGTCCATTTTCATCAAGCAGGGAGCATAGTGACATGCAGACAGGCATGGTGCTAGAGTGTATCAGAGTTTCACATCCAGATTTACAGGCAGTAGGCAGAGAGAGACAGTGGGTCTGTCTTGGGCTTCTGAAAAAAATCCAAAGCCCAAGCCCAGTGGCATGCTTCCAACAAGGCCACACCTAATCCAACAAGACTGCACCTCCTAACCCCTGTCAAACAGCACCACTCCCTCATGACCAAGCATTCAAATCTATGAGTCTATGGGGGCAATTCTTATTCAAACCACCACAGGAGATGATTGTTAATAAGGCTATCAACCAGCAACCGATATTGTATCTTGACCTTTGCTCACTGATGACCACTTTTTTATACTTGTCAGATGGTTAAGATGAACAAAACAAATGACAGCTCATGCTGCCAAGGATGTGGAATAAGCGGAACATTGCTGGTGGGAGTGCAAACATGTATAGCCACTATGGAAATCAGCAGCAGCACCTTAAGATCTACCTATTCCAATCTTGAGAACAGACTCAAAGGATGTTTCTTCCTACCGTTGAAATACTTGCCCAACCATGATCAGTGCTGTTTGTCTTAGTTAGGGTTTTCTATTGCTCTGAAGAAATACCATGACCATAGCAAGTCTTATAAAGAAAATATTTAACGAGGGTGGATTGCTTCCAGTTTCATAGAATCAGTCCATTATCGTCATGATGGCAGGCATAGTGGTGTGTAGGCAGACATGGTGCTGGAGCTGAGAGTGCTAATCTTTCTGCTTGTTGGAGAAACACATCTAAAATGGAAGGGGGTAAGTTGTCCTGAACTATTCAGTTCATTAATTCACTGCCCCAAGGCAGTGCATGCTATTCCACTGGCTCACTGGCTCCCCCAGACCACCCACCCATGCTGTGGTGACTCCCATGCAGAGGCCATGACCCGAGAAAACCTCAAAGAAAAGAAGGAAAGGAGACAGAGATAATCAGTATTAGGCTCCAATTACTTAGTCTCCATGCCTGACTACCTTACTGTCAGCATTTGTATGGACGTTGCCTCGTATTCTGAGCAAGCTAATGATCAGATCCTACATCCTCGACTACAAGGCCAACTAAACTACTGGTCCTTAGGACAAACTATGATCCCCTAGAACAGCATGAGTCAATGATTTGTCTCATGTCCATAGAACCAGTAGGAAATGTGACAGATCAAGACAGTTCCTCCATCTTCTGCTCTTGCTGAGGTCATTTTAGGCTCACCTAGAATTTGATCTCCTTCATGGAGAATCCATGGAAAATTACCCAGCTCTATTCTAGCAACCCAAGGTCAAGATGGCTCAGGTAATTTAGCTTCTGTTAATCTGCTTGCCTGTGCAAACCTTCCCCTGCTTCTGCTGAACAAGATAAGATAGAAGGATGTTGTTTTTGCCTTTAAAAGCTCCTTGCTCTAAATGCTCAGGGATATGCTTAGGTCTGGAATACCTGAGTGTAGTCCAAGCCAGCTGGAATAAAGACTTTCAATTGGCTATAAACTACATCCGTATGGTCATCGCAGGTGGGATTCCCATAACACTACCTGAGAGCTGGGATTTGAGACATACACCACACCACGTCCAGCTCAAGCACTCTATATGTTCTTTCTTTCTTTCTTTCTTTCTTTCTTTTTTTTTTTGACACAGATTTTCTCTGTGTAGCCCTGGCTGTGCTGGAACTCACACTGTAGACTAGGCTGTCCTCAAACTCAGAGATCCACCTGTCTCTTCCTTCTGAGTGCTGGGATTAATGATGTATGACAGCACCACATAGAATATATGAAATTTCTGAAGGTAATTAACAAGCTTTTCAATTCATAAAATTAACAATGGTTGCCTTCATCACATTATAAAGTAACTAAAGGTCTTTTATATAGGTATTAACCTGTCTGTTGTTTTTAAAATTGCATCACTATGTGGAAACAGGCTGGCCTCACAATATAGCTCAAGCTAGCCTTGAACTAGTGGTCTTCTTGTCTCAGCTTTCTGAATGCAGAGATTAAAGGTATGAGCCACTATACCAGGCCTTGGAATCTAATATATTACCACCCAGATAACAATAATAGCTCAATGGTTGTGACAATCAAAACTTGTTTTCAAATAGGGGCCAAAATCCAGACACACCGTTGAAACACCACTACGGTGAATGAGATGAACAGGAAACAACTGCCAGGCTCTGAGTCACTCTCTGGGAAAATATTGTTCTCCAAGCTCTTAGACCTACTGAAACCTAGGAAACAGGAAGACCACAAGGACTTGTAAGTAAAATGACACGTTCAGGGTGAGACTCTCTGATCCAGACACACCCGCCGTGTGGTGAGGCTTTCAGAAGTAACCTGAACATAGTTTTAGATGCACAGTCATAGTTTCCTGTTTGGCATATGCACATCTCTTTTGATTTTTCTCTGTTCCCAAATCCACTGTCCCACAAGAATAGATATTTATTTTTGGATGATGCAAATACACAATTAGTAAAAGAATATGCAAATACCAACATTGTGGATTCCATGCAAGGGAACATTCCCACATCATCATTAAAGAAATTCTAAACTGGAAGGCTTGGAGACTCCAAACAGAAAACTATGCATCAACAGAAACATTCTCACAGTCTCAGTACACCTAGATTCAGGAGCATATTTTCCTCTGTCGGCTTTAGATTAAAAAAAGTTTACTGAAATGGAATTTTCCAAGAAACTAGAAGACATTTATATAAATATATATACATTTATATATAGGTCATTTGTCAAAGACCTATTCAAACTCCGTTTTTGGAGATTCATTTTATGCAAAAATAGACATGAAACAATTCTCATAACTTAAAACATATAACCATACAACATATGGTCTGACTCGGCTTCTTTCTCCCAGCATTCTGTTTGGTCTACTCTGCCTACCTAATTTTCTGTCCTATTAAAGGCCAAGGCGGTTTTTTTATTAACCAATAGACATATGACCCTCCTCCATCACCACCCTGGGCTATATAGGAAGATCCTCTCTAAAAAAGCAACAACAAAACAATCAGTTCCCAGAATTTCAACCCGGCTCACAGTGATGTGAGATTCCCCTTATAAACTGTGAATACCAATGGCTAATAGAGAAACTGCTTTGAACCTGTTGCAGGGCAGATCACAGGTAGGCAGGAAAAACTAGGCTGAATGCTGGGAGAAAGAAGGTGGAGTCAGTGAGAAGCCACATGGCCCCACTGGAGACAGACACCAGAACTTCACCACAGCCTCGTGGCGATACACAGATTAATGGAAATGGGTTAAATTAAGATATAAAAGTTAGCTAATAAGAAGCTAGAGCTAATGGTAAAGCAGTAATTTAACTAATATAGTTTCTGTGTGGTTATTTCATGGCTGGGCTTCTGGGCAGCCAGGAAACAAACAAGCGGCCTCCGACTACATCACAGGGTATACCAAAAGCTGATATACTAACAGTAGAGATAGTGTAAATAAAATGTTAGTATTTCCCTTCAGAGATGATAGCATATTATAAATAGAACCCAAATTTTTAAAGAAAATTAAGTTCAGCATTCTTTTGAATGTAAACTAAATGTTTTGCTTATATAACTGTATGAAAACAGAAGGATATTACTGAGTAAAAACTGTCAACTGACCACTCTCTATAAGATCAGTAGGTTAAACTTATGAACAGACACAATTCTTAAGAGAAAATTACTGTCCTTTCCCCACCCTTTCTACATGTAGATAAATGCAAATTCTGCCTAATTTACTATATGTTCTATAACAAATCCACAAAAAAATTCAATGTAGCAGGAAAACCAAGAGAAGGAAAAGTAGTGTATTTAAACCTATACTTTCTTACCCATATGTTGCTGAAGAGCCCAAGAAGAGTTTGCACGAGCAGAGATCATCTTTTCAACAGGTGGTGGAAGTCTCTTCCAATTAGAAAATTCCAAAGTAAAAATAAGGACATCATCGCTGACTGAGTTAGCCCTGTATGAACAACATGTTAACAGGCCATCAACAGCAAAATATTAACATATTTAGGGCTAGTACTAAAAGCAAATATCACATTCCTTTTATACAAGAACTTGATGAGGGGACTCCTAGGAGAGAGGGCTGGAGAAAACAAGCTCCACTAGGAGCAGAAGGAAAGAGCAAATCCAGTCCTGGGACACTGCCAGACCAGAATTGAGCCAATGAACTGACTCAGAGTCTGCGATCTCCACCAGAACCGGAGTGGGACTGAACCAGTTACCTAAGACAGAAAAAACAAGCTACACCAAGAAGCAGAAGCCAGGAGCAGACACAGTCCCGGGACATGGGGGGGATCAGGACATAGCCAGCGACCAGATCCAGACTCAACAATCTCCACCACAACAGGACCAACTACATGCCAGGGACTTCTGCAGACCAAGATGTACAGAAACAGATCAAAGCCTGCAGCCTAAGCCAAAGTAGGCCTAAAATAGCAAACTCCAAGGGAGCAGAGCCAAGCACGGGAGCACTGAGCTACCTCCAGGAACAGGAGTAACCAACAGGGAAACTAGAACTGTGACACTGACTGTACCACGAGGAACAACCATCTGAACTTGGGATTCACTGGCACCTAGAAGATTATTCAACAGAATCTCAAACAGCCCAACCACACCTATTAGAGGAAAAGATGAGTAGAAAAGAAGATCACATGCTACACCACAAAGAGCAACACAATACCAGTAAATGGACTTAACAGACATCTATAGAATATTCCATCCAAACAGAAAAGAATATACCTTCTTCTCAGCACCTCATGGAACCTTCTCAAAAATTGACCACATACTTGGTAACAAAACAAACCTCCAAAATAAAAAAAAAAGGAATATCCCAAAGTACCTTATCAGATCACCATGGTTTAAAATTAGAAGTCAACAGCAATACTAATTCCAGAAAACCCACAAGCACACGGAAAGTAAACAATGCTCACCTGAATCATCAATGGGTCAAGGAAGAAATAAAGGGGGAAATTAAAGACTTCCTAAAATTCAATGAAAAATGGTCACACAACATACCCAAATTTATAGGACACAATGAAAGCAGTCTTAAGAAGCAAGTTCATAGCACTAAATGCCTATATAAAGAAGCTGAAAAAAAATCCCACACTACAGAATTAACAAAACATTTGAAAACTTTAGAACAAAAAGAAGCAAACTCACTTAAAAAAACTAGATGGCAGGAAATAAAGTGAAAGTTGAAATCAACAAAAGAGAAACAAAGAAAACAATACAAAGAATCAATGAGACAAAGAGCTGGTTCTTCAAGAAAATCAACAAAATAGACAAACCTTTATCCAAACTAAGCAAAAAGCAGAGAGAGAATATTTAAATTAACAAAATCAGAAATGAAAAGGGGAACATAACAACAGACATGGAGGAAATACAGAGGATCATCAGGTCATATTTTGAAAACCTGTACTCCACAAAATTGGAAAACTTAAAGGAAATGGATAACTTTCTGGATAAATATCACTTACCAAAATTAAATCAAGACCATATAAGCAAATTAAACAGACCTATAACTCCTGAAGAAATAGAAACAGCCATCAAAAGTCTCCCAACCAAAAAAAGACTAGGACAAGGTGGTTTCAGCTCAGAATTCTACAAGACTTTCAAGGAAGAACTAAGACCAATACTGCTCAAATTATTCCACACAATAGAAACAAAGGGAACACTGCCAAACTCTTTTTATGAGGCTACAATTACCCTGATACCCAAATTACAGAAAGAGAATACTAAGAAAGAAAATTATAGACCAATCTCACTCATAAACATTGATGCAAAAATACTAAATAAAATAACGGCAAATCGAACCCAAGAACACATCAGAACCATCATCCACCATGACCAAGTTGACTTCATCCCACAGATGCAGAAATGGTTCAACATATAAAAATCTGTCAACCTAATCCACCACATAAACAAGCTGAAAAATAAAACCACATGATCATCTCAGTAGATGTCGAAAAAGCATTTGACAAAATACAACATTTTTTTCATGATAAACGTCTTGGAGAGAGCAGGGATACAAGAAACATACCTAAACATAATTGAGGTAATATACAGCAAGCCAACAGCCAACATCAAACTCAGCGGAGAGGACACAAAGCAGTCCAACTGAAATCGGGAACAAGACAAGGTAGTCCACTCTGCATATCTATGCATAGAGTAATTAAAGTTCTATCTAGAGCAATAAAACAGCAAAAAGACATGAAGGGGAAACAAATTGGAAAAGAAGAAGTCAAACTCTCACTAAAAAGAAGGAATGAAAAGGAGAAATGGAAAGGGCACCAAATTACACAGCCTGGCAGACAGAACCTATACATGCCTGCTGACTTCCCATCTAAAAGAAAGAATACACACGCTGTTTTTCAGTGCAAACGGCGGCATTTTGGACATACTGGCTGTCAGATCAACTCCAAACCTAGGTGTGAGGAGACATTGGCTGAACGTGAATGTCTGGCTGGGCCCTAGCATTTCTAAATCTACTTTTAACCAGATGCCAGTGGAGTTTTACTGTTAGGAAAACTGAGCCGCACTTTAGTGAAGTCTTTCTGGGTGACGTTTACTGCTCTCCCATGGGGGAAACAGGGCTCACCAGTGGCTGCCTCCGAGACAGGAAAAAGAGGCGCTTTTCTCATCATGCAGGTTCCTCATACACCACTGACCCCACTGAGAGGCAGACAGGGCAGCTGACAGCAAACTGAACCTCAGGTGTCGGGGCTCAGAGACCACAATTCCTGCTCTCCCAACTGTCTTCTGGACAGCTGTCTGCACATGCCTAAGTACGCATGCGCAGAGCTCCTGGGGAAGGCTGAGCTCTGCACAGCCCTGGGCACTCACTGTACAACCTCAGATTGTGAGAAATCAGCCTAGTCATGAAGGGTGGGCCCTCGAGAGCCAAGCTGGGGCTGATGAGGGTGGAGAGGGTGAGGGTGGTGAGGGTTAAGGTCACAGGGGTGAGGGAGGGGGTGACAGGGATCCCATTCCAGGGTTGGAGTGGGATGTTTGCTTTTGGGAGGACTGGCTGCCAGCTCAGTGGGTGGAATTGAGCCATGGGTCAGTTGAATTCCCAGTCCTCTATGCATGGCACAGGCTGTGAAGTGACAGGGAAGCTAATACTACTGATAGGCTGTTTGGCTTTTCTTTCTTTCGCTCATGATCTAAGTGACATTTTGACAATCATTTTCTTTCATCACTACTAATAAAGGTTAAAACTTACAGTGTTTTAGACTATCAGATACCCGTCTACAAGTGCATGTATACTCCTCTATGGTGGTATCTAGAAATCCTCACGTGTACTTCAGGAAGAATTTGAAAGTTCCATTTGTTTGTGTAGAATAATGCAAAGACATAGCAACAGAGCACAGGACACTAAAACTCCAGTATTGCAGGGCCCTTGAAAGGGTATCACCAGATGCACCATGGTGTCAAATGGGGTGGTTTGTTGTTGTTGTTGTTGTTGTCATTGTTGTTGTTGTGGTGGTGGTGGTGGTGGTGGTGTGTGTGTGTGTGTGTGTGTGTGTGTGTGCGCACGCTCTGAGGAGTGAATGAGTCCCAGCCCTAGAGTCATGGAGATCACTGTGAGCAGTCCCATGAGTCTCAAGGAACTGTCAGTGACTTGGTAATTAGGTTTTCATAAGAATTGCAGTGCAAATAAACAAATAAATAAATGAAAAAAAGAATTTCAGTTCAAAGAGTTGCACTAAAATAGCAATAATAGATAAAGTCGATTCACATCTCTTCTTCATTTCATTGCTAAAAGAATCATCTAAGCAGGGTGTTTCAAATAATTATTCTACTCTTTGAATCTATCATTTGTTCTGACTGTGTACACACATGGGCTCATTGGCCAACAGTGCTGGCTTCTCTTGCAGAGGTCGCAACACATCAAGTGGCTCACGACCATCTCTACCTACAGCTCCATGGAATCTGACACCTTCTTCCCCTCTGAGGGTATGTGTACTCAGATGACATAATCTCACACTACAAATATATACTCATAAAGAAAATAATAAATACTTGAAAGAGATTATATATATATATATATATATATATATATATATATACACACACACACAATATATGTCTGGAGATTATTCTAGATAGAGACACCTTTTCCTCAATGTATTCACTGACAAAAATGTCAATTTAAGAGGCTCAACAAACAAACTATTTTATGCTTGTGGGTATGACTTGCAGATGATCTTTCAATTATTGTGTATAATTAATATAATAACAGCATATATGATAGAGCTTAATTTACTGAACACTAACTAAGCATAGTAACTTTACTATGATGTATATTTAAATTTAGGTACACGTTATAAAGAAGTTCATATTGGAACTGGATCTTAATCAATGTGCAAAGCAGTTGCTATGCAATGTTAGGCCCTGAGTGCAGATTAACAGAACACACACAAAAGAGAATGCAGTGACAGGATTCTGTATTCCTAGTACCCTTAGAAGGAGGTGGTGGTGGGTATGTGCTGTAGGAAGTCTTACAGCTGGTGGTGACCCGCCCACTAGATTTCCTCCGTGTCTGATTTATGTCCTCTTTTTGATTTCTCATTTTTTAATTTGTATATTCTTTCTGAAGTTTGGTTAGTTTGGAATGACATTTTTCAATTTTGTGATTTTTCTCAAAATTTAAATTTCTCAAAGGATCAACTCTTTGTCTCACTGATTCTTGTACTGTTTTCTTTATTATTATTATTTTTATTAATTTATTTATTTATTAAAGATTTCTGCCTCCTCCCAGCCACTGCCTCCCATTTCCCTCCCTCTCCCCCAATCAAGTCCCCCTCCCTCATCAGCCGAAAAAGCAGTGAGGGTTCCCTGCCTGTGGGAAGTCCAAGGACCTTCCACTTCCTTCCAGGTCTAGTAAGGTGAGCATCCAAACGGCCTAGGCTTCCACAAAGCCAGTCTTGTACTGTTTTCTTTCTTTCTATTTTGTTA